TCTCTTTCTGTGTTTTTCTAGGTCCCCTAAAACTTGTGCCCTGTTTTGTGTATGTGAACATATGTGTGATTGATTATTTCTGGTACTACAATTTTTTCTTTGTCCTACTGTCTTTGGGAGTCAGTATTTGACTGTTACCATTTTGGAATCTCTGCTTCCTTATATCACTATACTTCTTTTTTTTTTTTTTTGAGACACAGTCTCACTCTGTTGCCCTGGCTAGAGTGAGTGCCGTGGCGTCAGCCTAGCTCACAGCAACCTCAAACTCCTGGGCTCAAGCGATCACTATACTTCTTGCCCTTTGTCCGAACAATGTTCTTGTATTAATTCAGTTTAATCTTAAAATAGGTTTTTTGACATGTCATCTTTAGGTAAGATAATGAAAACTTTCCTAATATTTTTTAATACAAGCTGTTCCCAAGCCATATTCCCTCATCTTTTATTTGCATGTATTATTCGAACATCAGTATGGGACTTTATGCTCATTTGTATTAAATTTTATCTTATTGGTTCTAGCTCTTCATTTCAGACCACAGTTTTGGTTCTTATTTATATCATCTAAACATTCTTTCAAGAATTAAGTCATTCATAGTTAAGATAAACATGCCTCTTATGTCTTCATCTAATCATTGATGGTAATAAATTCATCTCTACAAGTGTTTTCAGTTTAGTCCTTACCATATTTCTGTTAGGTTGGTATTCTTTAAATGATTCATCAATCCATCAAATATTTGCTGAGTGCCTGCTGTCTTTCAGGCACGATGTTAGACAGTGGGCATGATGAACTCAATAAGACAAGATTCCTGCCCTCAAGGAATTTCCAGTCTAGAGGGGAAAGTTACACCAGCAAATCATTAGTTCCAGTGCACCTTTCCTCCAGGAGAGGTGTGCATAGAGTGCTGTCATCCCTACTTTGCTTTGAGGATAGCATATGTGATTTGCCCTTAATCAAATAGCTAATAAGGGACAGACCCTGGGTTCAAATTTGTGTCTTCTGACTTCTAATTCTGTGTTCTTCCTGTTAAACCACCCAGGGCCGGGCCAGGCCACTAGAGACAGGTTCTCTGTATTCTGTAAACTCTTAGGACACTTTTCTTTTTCAAGCACGTGAAAACCATTTCTGCTGTTATTTTCCATTTGCTGTCTTATTATCCTCAGTATTTAAAGCATCTTCATTTTCTTTGTACACAGCCATACCTATGTTGTAGCTAAGAACACCACCTTATTATTGATGTACTGACTAGGATTACTGCCCTGTTATTTTGAGTCGTATCAGTCAAATTCAAGAAATAGGATAGTACCAATACTAAACTAAGTAAACTAGTTGTAATGACCCCTTTCCTGTCTCTTACACTTATAGTTACAGTAGTTTCACTTCTCACTCTTCAGCTGTCTTTCCCTAATCAAGAAGTTCTTCTCTAGATGATCTGTCATAAATAATACTTATTATTCTGTAGTTCTCAGCAAAAGATAGAGCATTTATGGGATTTTATAGCATACTAAGAAGACCATTCCTGTCCTCAGGAAACTCATTCTCCATAGATGACCAAGACTGGTACTATGCAGGATTACATAATTAATAGAATCTTACATTTTCAGGAGAATGTGAGTGGATTCCATTGGTGAGGAAACAGGGATGACTTTATTATATAACTCTCTTATATTATGTGTTTATTTAATTATTTTACTATTCTTATGAGGAGCTCTAAGCTCTGTATTTGCTTTTTCTTCCCTTATTACATAACTTAGAGTATGTAGTAACAACTAAATAAGTAAGATAATTAAACCACAGTTATTTGAAAATATGGCTTGGGGAATATATATACACAATTATATGAATATGTATGTATGTATGTGTGAGTGTGTATATAAATATATATATTCCTCCTCTCTGATTAGATGACTTCCCAGAATCTACAGGCGTAAAGCGCATTGTACAAGCCTTGAATGCCAATGTCTGGTCCAATGTAGTGATGAAGAACGGTAAGTAACATGGGGCTAAAGTCATTTTTTTCCCTTGTTCCTTGTAATTTTTAAATTATTCAGATACATGTGGAAGTATTAGGAGTATTTGAAATCTATAGATTTATTCCAATTTCAAGTCCCTGGTTGAAGGAAGAGCCAAAAGTAGCATTTCTAGGAATTTTTAATATGTGTTCATAGTTAATTCATAGGAATTTAGAGGTTGCCTATAACATGCCCAGCTTTGTCTTTGGCTTTGAGAAATACATCCAAAGTTGTAAGACATGGACTCTATCATTAGGAAGCACCTATCCCAGCTGTGGAATCCAAGTGTACACTTTTCAAATGCTGGGTAACTATGCCAGGCAGTCTGTGATAAGCGCAGAATGATTGATGCAGGCAGTAAGTGCACAGAGTCAGAGATGCGGCCATTGCGTTAGGCTCAAGTACACAGAGAGAGCTTCAGGAAGAAAGTGGGTGCTGACGGTAGTTATCACGAGATAGTCAAGATTTAGGTTGATGAAAGGGGAGAAGGACAATCAGAGGAGAAAGCACGGCATCGAGAATAATGTTCTAGGGTCACTAGCAGAATATTACTTACCAGTTGGAGCTAGCTTAGAGAGAGGCCTGAATGCTAGGCAGGAGAATTTGGGCTGTTTCCTGCAGGAATTGGTGAATCACTGGAGATTTTTTAACAAGGGAGTGATACAAAGAAGTTGGCATCTTTGAAAGGTTAATGTCATGGTGGTGTGCAGAGGGTTCTGACAATTGAAGGAAGTCAAGGTAGAGTGTGAGGTCAGGGAGACCAGAGCTGTTGCAGCAGCTCAAGAGTGAGGTGTTTGGGCCTGGGCTCATGTGGTGGCAGTGGCCATGGGGCTTCTGGAAGGCTGGATCTGAAATGCAGTCTGAAGGGTGTAGGCTAGTTGGCACACACTAACCTCTTGTAGTCTGCATTAGTTTGCTAGGGCTTCGGTAACAAAGTACTATAAACTAGATGACTTAGGACAACTTGAATTTATTGTCTCACAGTTTTGAAAGCCAGAAGTCCAAAATTAAATGTCCTCTGGGGCATACTCCCTCTGAACGTGCTAGGGAGGGGTCTATTCCAGGTCTGTCTTCTAGCTTCTGGTAGTTCCTTGGCTTATGGCAGCATAACTCCACATGGCATTCTCCCTGTGTGTCTATCTGTGTCTGTATTTCTTGTTTTTATAATGACAACAGTCATATTGAATTAGAGGTCCACCCTACTGCAGTATGACCTCATCTTAACTAATTATATCTGCAAGGAACCTGTCTCCAAATAAGGTCACATTCTAGGGTACTGGAGGTTAGAACATCAAGATATGAGTTAGGTGAGGGGGATACAATGCAATCCATGGCATAGTCCTTTAGGCATTGCTGCCTATGTAATGATTTTCTTTTTTATAGCTGTCGGCCACCTAAACTAGTGTGTTATGCTGAGTGAAACACTACAGAAAAGGAAATGAGAAAAATATTTTACAGTGGGCCTGCCACATCTTCCCTGAGATAAAGGGTCAAGTGGAAGATCAGTTTTATAGAAGTAGAATATTTCACCTCAATTTTTGGTAGACTATTGAGTGTTAAGAGAGATGGGCACCCTTTAGCTTGCCTGAAGTCTGATCTAACCCTTGTTATCACTGGAGAAAGTCCTTTTGGCATAATAAGGTATTCCTTCCTCTTCTTCCCCTCACTCCCTCCTCCTTCCCCCTTCCCCCTTTTTTCTTTCTAAGAGGAATCTAATATGTCTGTGACATTGAATTGCAAAGATATTAGATTTTATTTTATTGCTATAGCAATCAAAATGAGGTCCTGATAGATCTAGAAGAAATAAGGAGATTTTACCCTATGTTATTATCTCTCTGTTACCAAAATAAACACATATTAAGGCTTGGTCCTTCTCATTCATTTATTCATTCAACAAATCTTTGTTGAGCATTTACCATAGTGAGGCATTGCTCTAAACTGTCTAAACTATAAAAATAAGTTTAAGATTTGGTACATAAACTGGATCCATTTAGAATAAAATTATATTCAGTGGTGCTTATTATATTTATGAGAACTACTTTCAGAAAATCTTATTTGGCTTCAATCATTTTTTGAAAAACCTGTCTCCCAAGTTCATACATTAAAAAAGTACTGCCTTGTACATTTGTAACTATAAATTTGGAAGCTGGACTGAACACACTTTATTACTTTGGACGTATGGTCAAAGGTGTTTTCTGAGAAAATGCCACTCTACTTGTTTTAGGCATTAAACAACATTCTTAAAAGAACTGCAAAGCAAAGAGGCATATTGTGGATTTTTCATGGTTCTTTGCCCTAAAGTGTCTTTGCTTTCTTCTTTTTTCTCTATGGTGCTGTTACATTGGTTTACTGTTAACCAAAACCCAGAATATTGCCATTAGCTTAATTCCATGTTTAAGAGGATCCTGGCCGGTGTGGTATGAAGGAAACTTAACTATCTTCTCTCTAGGAGAAGCCTGGAATATGGAAATACAATGACATTTGGATGCAACCCAGGTCTTAGGAAGCATGAAGAACATCCTTATAGAGCCCCACATCTTACTTTAGAGACAAAACTCTGTGTGGATAGATGGTGGGTCATATTACTTTTCACAGGAGGGTGATCTACCTCCTGTGCTGTCGGTGGAGTCTCGCTTTGCTGGTGATCTAGTGAACTGTGCCTTCCTCAGCAGGCTTTTCTTGAATGTCTGAATATGGTCTGTCAGCAAGTGCTCACACTGGTTTATTTGTTTTGTGGATCTCTGTCTTCTCTACTCCTATTTCTCTTTCATTTTTCCTGCTTTTTTCTTACTTTTGAAAAAAATTGTGCTTAAATATACATAAAATTTACAATTTTAACTCTTTATTTATTTCTTTCTTTAATTTTAGAGATTAGGTCTCACTATATTGCCCAGGCTGACCTCAAACTCTTGGGCTCAAAGCAGTCTTGCCTCAGCCTCCCCAGTAGCATTTTGACTATTTTTAAGTGTGCAGTTCAGTGGCAATATGTACATTCACATTGCTGTACAACCATCGCCACTCAGAAAACTTTTTAAACCAAAAAGTTTTTTAAATAAAAAGGTTTGTTGACAAAGTAAGAAAAGATAATAGAGGTATTGGATGGATACCTTTTTCAGGACACTAATGACTGATTTTTTTTGTTGTTGTTTTGGTTAGAAAAATTACTATAATCACGACTGATCCTTTGGGATTTTATGTTAGGAAATTACACAATACCAATTGATTATTTGGAATTATGTTTTGTCTAGTATTTATTGAGCAGTAATGAAACAGTTCGATTATGCCATGTTGGTCTTAATAATTTTGTATAGCTGCAGAAAAATATTTGTTCAAAACACTTTAAAAAAATCCATTTAAGGCTGGTTGTGGTGGCTCACACCTGCAATCCTGGCACTTTGGGAGGCCAAGACAGGAAGATCACTTGAGACCAGGAGTTTGAAACCAGCCTGGACAACATAGTGAGAGACCCAATCTCTACAAAAAATTAAAACATTAGCCAGGTATGGTGGCATTCACAGCAGTACTGGCTACTTGGGAGGCTGAGGAAGGAGGATGGCTTGAGCCCAGGAATTGGAGGCTGTAGCGAGCTATGATCCTATCACTGCACTCCAGCCTGGGTGACAGAGTGAGACTCTATCGCTTAAAAAAAAAAAATCCATTTAAATGTGCTCAGTTTGAAATAATAATTCCAATTCTAGTAAGGACTGTGGAAATTTAGCTGTTATGACAAATAGAACTGAAAACATACAAATCTGACTAGGGTTTTATTTCTTTGCAGTTTTTTAGATACTTGGCATTCAAAGGTCAAATATTTAATCTGAAAATCTAGTTGATTAAAATCCTAGAAATGAGTAGCTTTCTTCCTGCCCTCAACCAAGATAAAGTTTTCCTACAAGGGAATTCATGATTTAATGAGTGCTTATTATAAGTCTGAACAACATACCTGGTTATAGGATATCTTCATAACTTTTTTCCTTTAGTTTCTTAAAAGTTAATTTAAGGCTGGGCGTGGTGGCTCACGCCTGTAATCCTAGCACACTGGGAGGCCGAGGTGGGCGGATTGTTTGAGCTCAGGAGTTCGAAACCAGCCTGAGCAAGAGCGAGACCCCGTCTCTACTAAAATAGAAAGAAATTAATCGGACAACTAAAAATATATAGAAAAAATTAGCCGGGCATGGTGGCGCATGCCTGTAGTCCCAGCTACTCGGGAGGCTGAGGCAGGAGGATCGCTTGAGCCCAGGAGTTTGAGGTTGCTGTGAGCTAGGATGACACCACAGCACTCTAGCCCAGGCAACACAGTGAGACTCTGTCTCAAAAAAAAAAAAAAAAAAGTTAATTTAAGTCCCAGTGTGATGGCTCACACGGAGCCCAAGACAGGAGTATCACTCCAGGCCAGGAGTTCGAAACCAGCCTGGGCAACATCTGTCTGTACAAAATAATTTTTAAAAAATTAGCCAGGAGTGGTGATATGTGCCTGTAGTCCTAGCTACTCAGGGGGCTGAGGCAGGAGGATCATTTGAGCACAGGAGTTCAAGGTTGCAGTGAGCTGTGAACATGCCACTGTACCCTACTCCCGTCTGGGCAACAGATTGAAACTTTATCTCAAAAAAGAAGTTAATACACAAGCAGCCAAAGAAAAAATAGATGAATTGGGCTTCATCAAAATTAAAAACTTTTCTTCTTCAAAGGACACTACAGGAAAGTGAAAGATAGCCCTCAAAATGGGAGAAAATATTTGTAAAACATATATCTGATAAGGATCAGCAAAATATATCTAGAATGTAATAAAGAACTCTTACAACTCAATAATAAAAAGACAAATATGCTAGTTAAAAAATGGGAAAGAATTTGAATAGACATTTCTCAAAAAAAGATGCACAGATGACCAGTGAAAAGATGCTTAACATCATTAGGCATCAGGGAACTGCAAATCACAACTAGAATGAGATACCACTTCACACCCACTAGGATGGCTA